AGTACTCCGATTTATATTTTTTACAATTCCTACATAATGGTTACATTTAAATATTATTACGACAAGGTCATAACTGACAATTAATAACTTAATACCAAACGTAAAAAACTGACGAAATATGGTTGTAAAGCACTTTACTGCACTTGCGACGACGTTTAACTATATACAGTAAAAGTAAAATGCTTATTATTGTACAATTACTCATTGTCATGGCATATTTAGTCGAACACTATTATCACTTAAATGGGGCACCTTTACTATGTACATGGTGATTATTTTAAAGGTAAACACTCATTATCTCGAAAGGTATTGTCGTTCATTTTTTTACACAATTTCTTTTCGAGGACTTTGAATTTTAATACACGAATATCGAAGAATCATATTTTTAATGTATTGCGTACTGCATGGTGTACACACACAGGGTCGTGTTTAAGGGAAATCAATAACACAATATACAATACACTTTAAAGGCTTGCTATAATCTATACAGGTTGTAAAAAACGAATAGCCTATGAAGATTAAGTTATATTTTGTTTCTATATGTATGAACGATGAGTATGTTAAGTACATTATAAAAGTCATTAGATAATCTAAATTAAGAATGAAATTTTATCATTTTATCTGCATTTTGTACGTACCTACCTGTGAATGAATTTTAATTGTTAATTTTATAAAAACGCGGTGAAAATATACATTTTTAGATGGGTAGCTTACCGACAGTCTTGTTAAGAAAACTTTTATTTTGTATTTGGAATACGTATTCGAATAAATGAGTATTAAAGTATTCCGAATACATATTTGAATACTCTAAAAAATATTCAAATACTATAAGAATAAAATTTATTTACAGCTAATATTTTCCAGTTTTGAAATGGTTGGAAACTTGTAAATTAACGTGGGTCAATCATATTTCATTGAAAGAGAAAAATATAGCTAATTAATATTTATTTGTTTTTTGAAGAAAAAAAAACAGCTCCAGTCTCATCCAATAATTAGGTGGCATTATTTTCATGATTAAATTTTGACTTAAAACCTGTAACCGCACCAGCGTGTATTGAATAGCCATAATATACAATGTACATAATATTTAATATATTATGTATACTTTTCGATAACTCATTATAATTAATAATTTATTATAACGACCGCCACGTGTACCCACAGTAGCTACTATTTACATATTATTAATAGTTGAGTTGTTTAGTGTTCTCACACTAATTATTGAAAAAATGCAACATCGATCGTTAAAAAAAATTTGAAGTTTGGAAATTCGGACGGCGCGCAGCGAGTGTTTCTAAGTCTAAATTGGGGGGGGGAGCGGTTGGTGAGGCAATCGATCCTTACAAAAAAAAGTCCCACTCCAGTACCACATTTAGTTTTTAAGGCCACCTATTATATATTATGTCTGTATATTATATTGTATTTATCTAACACGGAGTTATATACTATTGAATAATACATACACTGCAGTGAATTCATTTTTATTCTTTTGTGTAGATATACTTACTTCCTTATTGTACTTCGAATTTGAAGACACCGAAACGACTTGATATAAACTTTGTAGGATCAACCGAAGTGTGGCACGTCATGAAAGTTAAACAACGCCGAAAGTCGAGCTAAATCCTGATGTGGTCGGTCACTAGGGATTTTTAGCGACGTTTCGTGCTATATATTCGTTCCTCTCCCTCTCTCCACGGTGGTAAACTTATTGCGGATAGATTTGAGCTTTGTAAAAAGATTAAGACACACCTAATACACTATATACGAATCCTTGACGCGTGCTTTTGGCCAAATGTCCTGTGATATCCTCCCCTGAACTGCACAAACAGTGTTTCAGAGTGCGTCGTAAACACGGCTTTTTACTTAACAAATAATGACATTTGAAAAAAAAAAAGTCACTAGACGTTATTATTGCTAGAAATATTTGACATAAATCATAATTCGAAACGACTTGTTTCCGGCAAATAAACTAGATGAATGTTTAAGACTTATTAATACCTATAAATGCTGTATGTATTACTTATAATTATTATTATATTATATAGTATTAGCTTTTAAAAAGCTTTAGTGAAATTTAATTTTTAACAACTTTTCGTGATTACGAATTACATACGAGTTAATGTCTTAAAAAAATCATAAAACCGTCTATATTGGTCAATGGTGCGGGAGGGGGAGAAATTATCAAACAAAATTATAAAGACTTTATATTCACGGTTGCATACTCAAAGTTATTTCATAACTTTAAAATGGCCTACAATTATAATTATTCACAATCAATAAATATTTAACTCGATGAAAATTTTTCATTTTTTCATATACTTTGCACTTCTACATCACGTCATCACAACATATTATTATAAACATAACAAAATAATGTATAATAGTATAATAGTATATTATTATATTGTTATATTTTATTAATATCTTCCACCAAATATAAGATAGTTTACATTTATTAAATATTCGTGAAAAACATAGTTTTATATATATACGCGTATTATAATATTGTTCATGTTAAATATTCCTATTGTATATTACTTTAATTAAACGTCTGAAAGTAAGCATACAAATATTATAAACTATAAAGGTAGTTTATTTATTTTTTTAATAATCATTTCAGCGGTAAATACAATTATTTTATTACCTTTATTTTATTTTGTCATCGAACGATACAAGCTTGATAATTTCTTTTCCGATAATATACTATACAGCTATGATAATCTATAATTTCATTACTTTATATATACAGGGTGATTTTTTTATCGAAGAACACTCATTATTTCAAAAAGTATTAATGTTTAAGAAAATATTTTTTTACATAGTTTCAAGTTGTTAAAAAACAATATTTTTATTAAAAAATTATATTTTTAAATATTTTTTATCCTTTTAATTTTTTAAGTTTTTTACTTTTTTGAATGACAACATCTAATTTTAATTTGATATTCAAAAACAGAATATTTTTCTGAGTATTTCGATACATAAAAATTGAATTTAGGGCAATTAGTTTATGAGTTATAAGTATTTAAAGTTTAGATGAGCGGAGTAGAGTGGTACGGGGTTACCCCGCGAAATGTTTGTCCTCTACTCCGCTCATCTAAACTTTAAATACTTATAACTCATAAACTACTTGCCCTAAATTCAATTTTTATGTATTAAAATAATCAGAAAAATATTCTGTTTTTGAATATCAAATTAAAATTAGATGTTGTCATTCAAAAAAGTAAAAAAATTAAAAAATTAAAAGGATAAAAAATATTTAAAAATATAATTTTTTAATAAAAATATTGTTTTTTAACAACTTGAAACTATGTAAAAAAATATTTTCTTAAACATTAATACTTTTTGAAATAATGAGTGTTCTTCGATAAAAAAATCACCCTGTATAATATAGGCTCTCGACATCGATGGAAAATGCATTTTCATTTTTATTCAATATTAGACAATTTTATGTTTGGCAAAAATAGAGTTCATATTTGCATGCAAAATTCTGCAAATAAATTATTTAATAAACTTTTAACAGTTTTAATTCGTTTTTTATTTGTAATTTCAAGAATATTTTCAAAAATTTGATCAGACTATTGAATATTAAATCAATGTTTAATAGCATTTTTAAATATAGCTTAATATTTATGGACATTTCTGAATAACTTTATAAATTGGACAAAATAAATATTTGGCTTTAAGTAATATTATTCAAATAATATTCGTTTAATACATTTGACGGTAGTAAGATGATTTTTTTCATATATTATAAGTTAGACCTCTGCACCGTCTGTAGATCAGAACAGTTGTGATTGGCAACCGAAATTTCCCTATGATCACTACCCTCGATTGTATTGTTTGTATAATTTGAATATTGACTAAAACTTTAATTTAATTAAACAGTTTAGGTATTTGTGCGTTTAATCACGAAACGTAAGTTTTTAAATGTAAAGAAATTGTACGGAAAGGTATTATATACTTAGTTTTTGTATTTATAAGCATTGGATTTAATGTTACTTACTTGAAATAATATATACACACAAAGTGTTTTTATTAAATTTGAAGTGCACAAAACGAAATAGTGACAGCCTGAAAAAGGGTTCGTTTTAATTTCTATGTGTAGATATTGGAATATTTCATCATGTTGTCTTCATTCATTAAGTATTCATATTATTATAATGTCATGGATGAGTATAGGACGTAAGTAAAATAAAATATACTTCTATGATTACTCAGAGTACTACTATGAGTACTCAGAGGCACACCATCCATAAAATATATTCTTGAGAAATCCACTGTAAGCGCAAAAGGGATGGTGATGAAGTGTTACAGGTATCATAAACAATATAATGATAATAATAGTATAGTTGTGTCTATATTATATTATATAAGACGACGCAGGTGTGAAGAGATAGTTCATCATTAATAGTAAAAGTATAAATTATAATATAATAGGTAAATAAGCATATAAAGTCGAGAAAAGTGTGGAGGTATATAATATCATACGAGGTAGTCAATTAATAATAACGCCGGAGACACTGTTATTATCTTTGACATTATCATTTCAAAGTTAAAAATGTTTTTGGGCGGTTATTATTGAGCCTTCATTTTTATTCTTATGTCACACTACATTTGTATAAATAAGCCTAACATTTCACTATTTTTGTAGGTCTATATAAATATATTTTCTAATGACAATACCTATCTTGGCACGTATTTTTAATCAATTTCTTAAGTTTCCTTCAAATAACATATATTATATGGGTGCCTATATATACTAATAAACATTACGAAGAATAAAAAGTTATTCGGTTCGTGGCCACTTGAATATGGATCGCGTTGGAAGGGCTGCACACCAATCGTTTGAGGTGGTGCAAGTAGCCGTCGGCCGGAAGGGTCCTGCCTGCAGAGAGGGGTTTTTTTTCGAGTACCTATACTTATAATATTATGTAATAATTATTATAATATTAAAATGCGATGGCGAGATACAGCAGGACATCGGTTTAATATTATTATTATTATGAGGACGGCGTAACTCTATTGCAGCTCCTGGCCGGCGGCGGCAGCGTGTACAGCACTTTGGTGGACGGCCTGTTCTCCCAGTCGCCAGGGAACCGTTCGCCTGTGCTCCTGTTGCACTGCATGGACAGCGTGCTCTGTTCGTACACCTGGTGCAGCACTCGACTCCGCATCGGCGTCCACTCGGCCCCGTTGTAGTTGACGCTCACCGCCCCCTCTGGCGAAGTCCGCTGCCTCTCCCACCTGCGAGCGCATTTAAAACAATCCTTGTTGTGTTAATTGTACACATCTTAGATTTGACTTTTGTTTTTGTTTTATGAACGTCACAGATAATAATATGGCAGTACTGATATAAATTGTAAATATTACATGTATCTTGGCAATATTATATTAATTAATATTAAAATATACACTATGAAAGTATAATGCGCAATTTCATAAAGAACATAATATTAAGTAATATAATGTTTTATGTCAAGTACAAGAATAGTCAAAATAAGACAACAGATCAAAACATATTATTTGGTGCTATACATTTTAATTATTTTTTAAACGATCTTTTATTTAATTTCGGAAAGAGAACAGGTAGATAAAAAAAATCGAAATGTTTAACTTTCCTATACTTACAATTAATAACATTGGGATCTGCAACAGCGTAAAAATACAATACCTAATTTAATTTGGTTAGAGCAAGAATACCTACTTAAAATGTAGAAGTAGACTTTAACGTGAACTTGCAGGTACATTTAAAGGGAGATTGAGAATAATATTTCGGGACAGTGAATGTAACCACGAGTCCAATATTCCAATAACTAAAAATCACTTAAAATACTACCTACTATATTATATTTTTCAAAACGGTGAGAACTTTTATTCATAATATATAATATTAAAGCCGTACAGTATAGGTAGTACATGATTATATTGTGCTCGATAGATCATCATACTCATACACCATAATATTCAATAATAAAGTATATTAACTATGAAGTATACTTATTATAGAGTAATATTCAAAACCACATGGAAAGTTAGAAATCCACCAAACACAATGTTATTGTATACCTACAAAATAACATAAGTATTGAAAAGCGTTGAATAGAAGTGTGTAGTACCAATAGCTCATGTTTAGCGAGAAAATTATTTATTGATTTTGTACGTTTTTTTACATTTAATAAATAAGTTGAATTTCAAAATGTGTATCATTATTATCTACTTATATTATAATATACGTGCGTGTATTTTTTTTTTATTATTGATTCACACGATAAAACCGCACTCGATTACAGAGAAATGTCTTGAAATACGATCATTGACTTTCCAATTATTGAACAACTTATACCAAGTGAAATTAATATCTACGGTTTGATTGAATGTATAGAAAATCGACCTACTCATAAAATGTCCATAATATTGTGTTCAAAGTCATATTGTTATACCAGGTATAATGAAAATGTCCATGGTACACCATGTTCGTTCCTATACCTGACACGAGACGGCCATTAACTTTACATTAACGTCTTATTCGTGTTTATATCTAGATTGTTATTATTACATAATAAAATATTAAAATGTAAGACAAAACAGTTATGTGGTTTATCTGACGATCTTGTGAAACACGACATGTAACGGAGACGTCTGTATAGCAGTCAATCACAGTAATTATGTAATAATACGATGTACGCCAATACGTCATAACTCCATAGTGCATATTTTAATACTACATTCAATTTACTCAAAATATTATTATATATATATATTTTTTTTAATAGGTTTTATTAAAATCTAAAGTTTATTATTATTGAGAATAATATGAATATTCAATGCTCACTCGTTCAGAAATTTAAAATAGCTCTTCAGGTTCTGGTCGCTTATTGAACTCTTGCATACCTCTAGCTCTATCTTCGGATAGTAATACACGTAGTTGACGCACATTTCGTCGGTAATGCTGAATCCGCCAAGTGTAATATTTTGTCTGTCCTCGGTGTTGTAATGACACGTAGTTATTAATGCATCCCCCTGTACATCAAACATAATTTAATATATTAAATATTGTTCTTAAATCAATGTTAAATATTATACGTTTTATACTTTTAGGTAAACTTCTTAAATATTGATTGCGCTAATGCGCTACCTAATAAATCTGTTTTCGTACATCGAACTAACCTTAATTTCAAAGTATACGTAGGTTATAGGTACTAAATAATACTTATTAATTTAATGTTTGACTTAAACATATTAATTAATCAATAGATTAGTATTTTATAAACATAAATAGTAATTAAATACTATAATTAATAATAGTATTTGATAAACAATCACAATTCAATACCTAGGTATATTAAAGATTACCTACAGATTACCTATTGATTATTGATGATTGAAATTGTAGATTAATCGTTTTCAAATAATTGGAAAAATAACAAACTTAAAATAATATTTACAGTTATTACTTAAATTACTTACATACAAAACCCTAAAAATAAAATATATTTGATTACCAGGTGACACATTACTCGACTACTGTACACGCCTATATCAAATTACCAATAAATAAAAAAAAACAATTATCATATAACACGTTTTATTTGATACTCATTAAACGTTACAATGTAATATAGTCATATTGAACGATATTGTATTACTATAATAATTTGCGACAGTCAATAAGTCAACTGGTTATAATAAATTAGAGGTACAACTTTGACTTTTAGTTTTCAACTTGTTGTAGATACCTATAAGTATTATACATTCAGACATTTTTTACCACTATATTTTACATAGCTCGTTAAACCAACCGTCGTTACACTTTACATTTAATCATATACCTGCATGAACTCAATTAGCTATTTGATGATATTTCATGTTTCAAACACCATTAGGAATATTGTTTTTTTTTATTATTTATCGTCCTAATTCTCATAGCTCGTTAAAGAGGGTAATCATGAAAAGTTTGTTTCGTGAAACATTTCTATTAGCGATGGTATTATATTATTATGTTAACCGGGTCGATTTAATATATCTAGCAAATACAATATTAATATAGTCTATAGGTACTTAAACATAAAATAATTTTACAAATTCATACTAGAAATTATTGTACAACAACTATACAAATATACAAATTGTATACGATGGTAATAAATAATTGTTAAAAAACTTTCGAGAAATTGATTTATGGCCGTATCAAGAGTTGTATAAAACAATTTTAATCCCCCCTTTCAAAGTCAAACTTCAGATATACCCCTTGCTAATATTAGTGTTATACATAATATATAAGATGATTCACCTAACATGCTCACCATAATTTTTTCCTTTAATAATAAATTTGTTTTAATTCTGATTTTTGAACCGTATTTTGAAATGTTACGACTTAGTATTAAATTGTTTGTATACATATATAGGTATAGGTATAGACACAGTGGCATTTTATGATTTTCGGCATTATTAGGATGCCGATATGATATAATAGATACATACAAAGTGATTCACTGAGTACCTTTGCTCACCCAGTCATCCCATTTTTTTTATTTAAATAAAGAAATTTCTTATAATGTTAGTTTTGTAAATGTTGGATCCTAAACAGTGATCATTACCTATACTTTAAAATATATTTAGATTTTTGTATACCGTTCAATGCCCAGTAGCGATCAGCAACTTGATACCACCAACGATAATCATTAATAACTATTTTTTCGTGAATATTTTTAAGGGTCCTCACTAAGGCTATTATTTAAGGGGGCAACATTTAGGCAATTTTTAATCTTGTCTTAGCCTCCCGGCCCCCGGGATCTATCAATCTATGTGTTAGTGTTAGTCGTAAACGAATATTAGTGTGAGTGAAACTCAATGCGGGTACTACTCTAGAATGTGCATGCACAAGTCAATGACTCGATAACAATATAAAATTCACCATACGATTTCTTACGACAACTTACTTATTGTTTTGACAAAATTGAAGTTAGTTGACGTTGTCTGATTTTGATTCTGAAAAAAATATTTGAATTCAACTGAAAAATTTCTGTAGATCGTAAGAAACACTTTCTGTTTTTAATTTTAATTATGAATTGAAAAAACCAATAAATACAAGTTTTCAATTACAGTTCACAGTAATATAAGATTTAATTTTTACAAAGTGTTCTGTACGATCTATAGAGAATTTTCTGACGAGTTAAAATTTTTTTTCAGAATCAAAATCGAACAACTTTAACTAACTTTAATGTTGTCGAAACTCAGGTCTTTTGAACTAAAATTTATGTTAACAGATTTTAAAGATATGAAGGCTATAAATAATATATTATGTATCGTTACTTCTTAAATCGCATAAAAAAAATCTAAGTAGGTATATTTAAAAATATAATGATCCTATGGATAAGTTGTAGGTACAAAAGTTAGGTTATATTTTAAAATTCCAAAAACCAACATTTCAATACATTCTTTACTAAAGGAAAAAAAATGGGGATGGCATACTCGGTGAATCACCCTGTGTCCCTGTTAGTTTATTACATATAATAGTGCTGCAAATGCCAAATTCCATTGTGTCTATACATATACCTATATAGTATATACATATAAATTATAATATTATATTATTATATAATAGTATAGGTAATATAATTATAACAATATACTACATAGAGTATTATGTAGGTACTGCAGTGTATTTGTGTATGAGCGATGCGAGGATAACCCGCCGACCACCGATTGATTTCGGTTTGTTGATCGCCGAGGCATTGTTAATGATTAATTAAAACAGAAAAAAATCAACGAATAGATTATGTTTCTATATACGTATATATAACGTGATATAATTATAAATTACGCCGTTCTGTTTACGCCGGTTGATTGGATCGCACTCACCGACGAAACCCGAGGGTGTTTGCGCTGAGCGCTTCATCTTGTATTCGTAATTTTTTTTTGTTTTTTGTTATCATTATTTATCACACTGTTCTAATATACTTTTCAGCTCCTTGGCCGGAATTATGCAGGGCACTGCACATTTACCGCGGTGGCCGCCGAAATTCCTATCTGGGAGAGACCGTCATTGTGTTTTCTTCTCGTGGCGTCGACGACAGACGACTGCGCAGCTATACACTGCGTTAACGATATAGGCACCTACCATACAAATTGTACGATACAATCACATTATATTATTAATTATTATCATCATCATTGCTTATTAGTTATTATTATAATAGGTATATCTAACCTGCAAAACGATTTTAAGATAGACAATAGTATATTAATATAGGTAGCAACTATCAAGTATATAATATAAGTAATATATAGAACATATTACTCGACTATACCTCGGTAAACATAAATACAACATTTATACATAAACCACCGATTGACGTCAATAATGATTATTGAAAATTCATGTACCCATATAACTACCTACATGATATTATAAATTGTGTTGCAAGAATAATTACATGCCACATCAATACATTGTAATAATATATTAATTTTGACGTCAGTAGGTATAGAAATGTCGGTGTAAGGTCCTCTTAAATCCCAGTTCAGTAGCTGATGCATAAACTTTTGTTTTTGCATAAACCAAAATAAGCCTTATAAAACAGCAATCAAGCTTAGTGCCTTAGTAATTTCACTGGACGCCCCCTACCCTTACATCGTTCATTTTTTGTAGTTCCACGATAAATGTCCTTATAAGGTAATTACTATCTAAATATTACAAATTATACATTTTCATATTTATTTATTTAGGTATTTTAAAAAACATAATTAATCGATACATTTTCGAATTTTTTTCAAGATTTACTATTTGCGTAAGGACTGTTCTTATTAGCATCGTTTTTGTAGCCGCATAGGTGCAATTAGAGTGGGGGCTAAGCCTCACCCATTTTTATCCATAGCCACCCCAGTTTTTTAGTAGTTTAGTTTAAAATATTAATTATCAGGGTTTGTGCTGCTCAATTTAGAAAAATGTCCCTAATTAGTATGTTTTTAGCCGACTACGTAATATGGTTGGTGAGTATAATAATTCTAATTTCTAGGTATAGGTATTATCGTATATAATAATATTATATGTATAATATATATTAATTGTATACTCAAATTGTGATCATCATGACTTACAGGAAGCACTCGCACCGGTTTATGTAGTAAACGAATTTCCTGAAAATGTGTGCTGTAATGATTGTCCCTGTTGAGTTCCGGTAGTTCCTGTCCGTCCCGTACGTGTTTCGTGTAGATCATGGTGCCAGTAAGGTGGGTGTGCAATTGTGAACCAAAGATCTCAATCCCAGCCGAAGGGATGCTCTGAAAGTTCAAAATGATTTTGGTCCAAGTGATTTTGTTCACCGATCGGAATATGACATTATTGTACCGTTATTCAATCGCTAATCGTCAAAAAGTTTCAATTTAAAGTTATAATATTACTAATAATTAGTAATTACCTACTATAAAGCTTCGTATTTTCTAGACTATAATAGTATAATGAGTAAATCCAATCTTATCAAATGGTTCATCTGTCAATTATAATAATAGACTTATAAACTAATGGACAGCGCTTAAAGAGAGAGGTCAGGGGTACGATATAGAGTTCTATATTGTTCTTTCTCTCTTTTCTTCTTCGTTATTTCTTCTTTTTTCTCTTATATAATATAATATTATGATTCCCGTGCATTGATGGCAGAACGGAGTGGAATACGCTGTCCATTAGTCTATAGGTTTATGGTACTATATATAATATACGAACGACATCTAGTGGTTTAATTTCTAACTATATTATCATAAAATTCTATAAGAGAAAAAAATTTTTCTTTAAGTTTTAAAATTATTTATTTCATTTAAAAGTTACAAAAAAAATGTGTCCCTAAAGGCTAAAAGAATTACTTTGTTTGTATTGATATTATTATTATTATTATTATTATATTATCTAACTATAATAGTTTATAATCTACTCGTTATTTTTAAATTAGAATAAAACCGATAAAACCTAAATTTTTTGCACAATGATTACCTAAACGGCTAAACTATCCTTTTTAGTGAAATATTGTTTGTTGTAAGTACTTGTGTAAGCGGAATCTCTTAAGTCTATTGATACTCGTCAGATAATAGTATAAAATAAACCACCTTCATAATATGGTAACATTTAACAACTAGATTGCGCTAGATATATAAAAAATGATTTTAAATGTTGGATCAAAAATAATATAGCCATCTATTAATAGATAGGAAGCTCTGAAAACTGAAGTTTTATATTTTGAAGTTGAATTTTTTTAAAACTCATTTCGTCGTACGATTTGTAATATTATTGGTCCGTTACTAATTTAGATTTTAATTGAGTTAACATTATAACTTAATATTTCATCGATGCTTAACCAACACATATATAGTACCTTATGTGAAAAATAACCATCGTTACCCACATATTTTTAACACATAAATTCATAAATTACGTATCAAACAAGTTATTCCGAATTTTGTGTCACACAATTCTTTGCACGGAGTACTCAAAATTTATTTTTTTATGTTTTTTGGTAATTTGAGAGAGAAATCAACCATTTAAATGTACAACATTAATTGTATTTTTAAAGTTGACTTAAATAAAGTTAAATAATAATAAAATTTAAAACTCATATGTCAAACATTTAAAACTATTACCATCCTCTATAGTTATTTTTGTAATAGGTGATTTTACTCTAAGTGATTACTCAATGAATGTGTTTTATATCCGTGTTGCACGAGGGTCTGAGAAGGAAAACAAAATATATTGCACTGATGTCCTCTTAAAATGAGTTGACAAGATCGAATTGGCGGCATAGCTTTATATTATTTTATTGGTATATCATTATTACCACTGCGGTGCATTCAGCAATACAATAGCCGCTCAACGTGAAATCCTCTAACTTCGGTGGTATGGCCATTTTGTCTGTGTACTCTAAGCCCAGTTCGATCACTCCGGCGTCGTATTTTCTCACTTCCGGCGTTATGTACAATCGTACGCCGGAACTGTCCACCATGCCTACAACATCACAGCAGTAGTTTACAATAAGACATATTGTACTCTCCGAGTGGTCGGTAAAAAATAAATAGAAACGTTGCCTTTTCTTAGCCCGGGATTGTTGTAGTGCACCTCCAACATGATATAACTATTGAAATCGGGACCTCCGATGGGTAAACCGGCTTCCTGTCACGGGAAAATACATAATATAGAGCATATTATTATTATAGTAATAATTAACACCATCGATATTAGATATCGTATAGGTCGTATATGAAACGGGTTGAGTTTAGCTTTATTACCTCAGGGTACACGAAAGGAGCAGCTCCCATTGCCCAGGCGGCCATCACTTTCTTGCACACTTGTGTCTTGTATGGTCGTTTTTCTGAAAAACAAGGACCACTGTACAGTGGTATCCGAGTACCAGCACTGGATTCGCAATGGAACACTTCCATGTGATGCACTACACCTCGACTACTTTCGTCAATAACCGACTCAAACTGTTTCGAAATAAAAATGTAAAATAAATTAAAAACAAGTAAACACTTCACATAGGCTAGTACATAAAATACCTACTGCTTCTATTGTGCGATTTTAGGGAATAATTATTATAAAACGAAATAAGTCAATATTTTTGATAAAATGTCGATACGCTATTGACAGTAATTATTAGTACCTACTTATTTTACAGTTATTACTATAGTAAGTACAAAAACCTTTATTTGAACATCTTTAATTTTTTGTTATGCCCTATTTTGAAAAAAAAATATGGGTATGTCATTATCTCGGAAATATTGTTTACTCTAAATTGTGTAACTGGTGTTTTTCTCCAAAATCACGACGAAACGAGTGTATAATATTACTATTCTTCTTATTTCTCCAGAAGTGTATTTTTACTTTTACTAAAAATTCAAGTATATCGGTTTATTTGTGGGAATCTGCATTTTGTATACTTTAGAGGCTGAAAGTCTGAAAGGAGACTGGAACCGACCGAAATTAACAGGTTCTCGAACCTCAAGTCCAAAAGCCATTAAAATATTGTGTACGTATCGAAACCTAGTTTAACTATTTTTAAACAACTGAAACTGAAACACTGTTTTAAATGAAAATAATTTTGTTTTACAATGATTATTCATTTTGTTGACAACGCCGTGATATTTTTTTCCAGGAGTTCTTTTATATTCTAATTTTATTTTTGTTTAGACTGTTTAGAGTAATTAATACATATAACAATATATTATTATTTATATTTTATATTTAAAGTAACTAATTATACTCAGATAGGTACTTAAGTATGCACTAACAAAAAATATATATTTGGAATTGTTTATTTCTGGTTTTAACCAGACCTTATAGCAGTAACCCTCAATTTATATTTTTCTAGAACCTATTAGCTATCAATAAAATAATTGAGTAGGTACCGCAACAAAAAAACAAAATGTACCTGTAAGAACGTCCATGTAATGTGAGTAATATAAAATACATAGAGGGTCAAAGTTATGCAAATTATTAATTATTAACGGTTAACAATATGACGTGGCCATGTTTACCCTAACTATATGATGTTTGAACGATAAATCCAGAGGAATCTTCATCACGTGACACCAATACGTCGTCTCTTCCGCGGGAACCTTTACCTTGGAAGCCAACACGTCTATTTTGGACACTTTATCCGGCAATCGGACCTGAGGTGTTTCCGGTTTTAGCAACTGAACTCTTTGCATGCCCTTCGCTCTGGCCTGCGACACCAACAGCCCTTCAACTGCAAATAGTGGACCGCCGCCTACCATCCATACAAGGTGAGTAGTACCATCCTATGCATAATAATTATTAATTATCATATTATTGACTTGTATATATTCAGCTATCATATTATAAATACAGCCTGATTCTATTTGTACTGTAAAAACTCGTGGTCATAACCTCAGATGATTTTTAACTTTTTCAAAAAAGATATTTGTTCCTGGTTTGATTAAGCTTTTAAGAACAATAAGTCCAGAAAAGGATTTATATTTAAAGTTTTTTAATTTATTTATTTCCTAATAAATGGGGAAACAATAATAACTGCTTCAAAGTATATTATAATAATATTAATTGCGTACATAACAGTCACTTGCCTGGATTAAATAATCGCGGTCGTCATCACATGTATCAAATTTTCGAGTAAATGTCAAAGCAGTACCTCCTCCGTGAAATCGAGCAACATCAAACTCTTCACAATCCTGTCGCTCATCTACGGAAATTCTTCCGGCGTCGTCTGTCCACGTATCCTACATAACAATATTATTGAACATTTTATTACATTTTCTTCAGATTGATTAAAATATTTACTTGAACGTTTATAACATAATTTTTAAAGTTATTGAATTGGTATTTTTAAATACTTTTAAAACTAGGTAATTTGGGATTACATGAACTTATTATATAGGTACCTACTTTAAATTAACAATATCGTTTAGGTATACAATATTTTAATAATGTTTACAATTAAACATTACATATTTTAACATAATAAATACCACTAGTCATCGTAAGTAAAAAAAAAATATTTCATAAAATTAATATAATAATGTATTAATTAAGATCTTTAAATGGCATGATAGAAGAATATCAACATTTATTGATTATTGACAATTCGTTGCAACAAATAATTTGCAAAAGAAAAATAATAAATTATCAGGAGTAGTGGAATTTTATGACAACGAAATTTCGCATCTGTGAATAAATTTCGAAATTTCTGGCCAAAATTGTACATACTTCAAATAGTCCGATTTTAATACTGAAAATATTCTTAGGTACTTAAGGTTCTACAGTATACTACTCTAGGTTACGTTTTAAGTTTTTTTCATTGAAATGAGTAGAACCTAAATTATCCCAACAAATATTTAATTTAATTTACGTATGTGAAATTCTGAAACCTTTGTTATCGCGGAACATCATAAGCATTGTAGCTTGTACACGTTATCATTTATTTATGTATAATAAATTGTAAATTATAAATATAAATATATCATATAATTTTAGGTATGTTTTTTGTGATATGTATGAACATATTAAATAATAAATTTATATATAAATATAATACATATTATGTATGTGCATTGTACATAATAGGTACCTACTACCTAGTATTAAAAAAATCCCCGGTATCCGATGTTTCACGTTTCCGTACTAATTTCGGTCCCAGAAGAGCAGGGAAATACATTAAACCATCATATTAGATATTAGATTAACAAGTTCAAGAAACTCCCCCAATTACATGAGGAAAACTAAATTCAACAATTTAAATATCGAATCAAAGAGTCAAATAAAAAGTTTATTTGAAAAACAATCCAATAATACCAATGATTAATAATAAAACTCAAATAAAAAAGGCAATCAATAATAGTTGGTGAACTTGAGAATATGTGTGTTAATAAAATTATAAAAAGTCAATACCTCATAAACATTATATCTTATCCAAATGTAACGCCTGATGTTAATTTTGTTTCTGAAATATCTATAATATTATTAATATTATTATTTTTTTTGTTTAATTAATTAAGTCGTATTTTTAATTGTATAAGTATTTTACTAGATAAAGCGAATCATAATGAGTATCATGATCTAGGATTATCCATGATCTCCGTATATCAGATACGAGCTTATAGCTCAATATTGATATACATATGAGATATTATTAATGTAATTTATTGTAGTATCATTTATTTTTAATTGATTTGACTGAAAAAAATTAATAAAATTAGTTCGGATAATCAAGGTTCTGCTGTGTATACATTCGTACAAATATTATCCCGTTTTTCAAAACAATTTTGGACTAAATTCACTAAAATAATCACAATCGTGAATACCCTTAATGTCTTAGTAAAACATATTGTGAATGCTTTGTGAAACTAAATTTCAATTTTTATAAAAAAAAATTACTTCTGCATAACAGATTTCAAAAACCATATAAATATACGATATACGTTATCTAAATCAAAATACAAATTATAATATTATATAATTTATAATATATAATAAATAATAATAATATAATAAATCAATACACAATAGTTCATAATTTATTTCATACAAGTTTTTTCACACATTTTATTACTATAAAAAAGCAACGATTTGTTTGTATACTTTTTTGTAATATTATCTAACCAATGAGCAATCCCTGATTGCATTTAATACAACAAACAAAAAGAAGGGTTCTTCATATAAATCCCTCTTGAAAATCTTTAACGTATCGTTTTTCTCATTTTCAGTGAGTTCCTCTCATTATATACAATCTATATATGTACAATAAAAATTTTACATTTGCACTATTGCTGCAATATATAGGGTGATACACCAAGCACGCTCACTCCCTCATGTCACTCCCTAACTCCATAATACAGGTTTTATATTTTCTGAAGAACAATAAATTATTGAATTATATTATGACAATAAAAAAATCGATTGTTATTGTTAAATTATCAAATAAGATACATTACATTACATTTATTATAAAAAGAAATTTAATTGTCAATTAATAAACCCTTTTTGTTTATGTTATGTGTGTGTACTGTATATAATGGATTTTGTTGTACATCCTCTCTAACTTAAAATATCACTAAATCACTGAGGTACACACACTAATACTACAAAAAATCGTCAATTACTATAATAACATCTACACTCTACTAGAGAAAATATGCTTATAAGAGTAAAAACACAGAATACCACCATTGAGTTTTAACGACTTATGTGCAGTGAAATTACCTATACATATCGCCGTGGGATCCAAAAAGTGTGGTTTCCAATTTTCGTCTTTAAAAAAATATAATTTTAATTTTACCTTCCTTGATACTCGATTTCATAAACGATTACATAATTTAGTTGACATTTGAATTATGTGCAGTTGAAGTCACCTGAGGCCCGAGGCTCCTGGACTAAATCGTCCTCAAACGTACAATATGGTTCGGCGTTGTGGAGGAAGAATATGCATGAATAACAATTTTGAAAATTGAATCGGGCTTAGGTATGTTATATTTTTATACTTGGTTCGAAGCTCTAACAGAAGCGTGTGGAAATGTAGAGATAATGATATAATGTTACGGGCAAAGTGGAAAATCCGGGCGTTCTATACATTACCCGTACATTTTTAGGCAATATGATTTTTATAATTAACACGTTTTCTATATTGGCGGACATTCTATTAAAATTCTCAAGTAATTAAAAAAATTACCGATTTATCACAAGAAAAGAGAAAAAAAATATGTATTTATACATTCGTATTATATTATATACATATAATAGGTACCTATGTGCAAATAATTTATGCTGTTGAATTGTACATACATTTAAAAACTATTGGAACTAAAATTCGATGTTATAAAAAATACATTACTATAGCCTATAGGTAAATGCATGATGGCGATAGGCATTAGTGGTCACCAGTATTTATTCACTTTATCTATTATCTACAAGGTATAAGGAAAACTGTGAAGGGGGATGACAAGAATGTGCACTCGATAATAATTATCATATTTTCCCTATCTCAATTCAATAGTTTTATGATCCTTTAATTTCCGATTTTCTAAAATATTAATTGTTAATTTGCTACTTTCACTCTACCCTACTTAGCCACTTAAGTATATCTATTACCCATATGGCCATATTATAAAAGTGAACAACTAATAGGAGTTTCTTATATACCGAAAATTTGAAACTTTTTCAAAGGCACGTGAAGTATATACCCTAACTATATTTACCGAAATAAATGCCTCAGATTACACTATTTTTTTGCAATATTATATACATAATATTATGGTAATAAACATTTACACAGGCCTTAGGTTATAGTGTCTTTCAGTCTTGAGCGAAGACGTGGAGAATTCACTTTCCTAATTATATTTATCAGTAATGCGTTTGAACAATTTGTTCTGTTGAAAAAATGACAATATTCTCAAAGAAAGGTGAAAAAAGCACAAATTATATATATTAGCTTGTCTTTAGTAAATCAAACAATAAAAATATAGTAAATATGAAGTCAAAATTATTTTTTTATTGTTTATTTAACTGAATTGTTTTTTATTTAATATGTAACAGTAACTTATCATAATTACATAACAAGACATAAAAATGATATGTTTAACTAATAGGTACTTACTTATTTTTTAAACTTTCTTTCAAAACGTGTGCAAAGACCATTATCCAACTAGCGTACAATAGTTATCGGTAACCACCTATAGGAGGTTACCCATACTTTGTTGGAGTATATACCATTGCCTATAATACATGCTCCTTTCCGAACAACACTTACCAACATGCCGGTTACGCCTTTCCAGTCAACCCACATGATGCAGAAGTCGGCTCCGGAGTGGTTGCCGCGGCCCGAGAAGCCCACCGCCAGCCAGTCGAACGGGCCACCGCCGGCCGCGAAGTGCGCTTCGAACTTGACGGACCGCGACCCGTAGTCGACCGTCCAGTAGATGGCCGTCCGGCCCGTGTCGTCAAGCGGTGCGGTGTACACGCGGCGTGCAGCTGCCCCTGAGTGGCCACCGTCTGTGGCCGAGAAAATGGTGACGATGGCTGCTACAACGGCCGTCCACCGGCGGCACCACCGCCGCGGTTGCGACGAAGCGGTCCGCTGTTGTTTCATGACGGACGTGTCGTCAAAAATATAAACAAGCGTTATGTGTTGTAGGTATAATATTATACGACTCGGCACCGCGTCGTCAGTGCGACTGACGCGCGATAAACGATAATCGGCACGCGCGCGACCTGCAGACGACGACGGGACGCTCTAAACAGCCGCAACCTCCGACTTGTCGTCGGCGACGCTCTGACGGCTGCTCCAGATGAGCGTGGGTTTTCGGGCGGCTGCGTCTCGAAGTAGGGGAATGGGGGTGGGGGCGAGTGCTAGTGTGTGATCAAGTGTGTAAATTTCTATAATTTATGTTTGTGTGTATGTACTTAAAACTATATATAAATAAAAAAAATAGTAACAATATGTAAATGGTAACTCGTTGAAGTATTATTGGTAGGTACAAGGTATACCTTTTCTATAGAAAACTCAAAATATATATATAATTCACAAAATAAAATATTACCTATAATATATAATAGGTATTTATAATATATATATTATTATGAATAATATACGGCCTAACAATGTATAAAAATCAATAATAATAAAAAAAAAATGATACAGTTACTCACTAATTCACTATTTATCTCGGTGCGCAGACTGGCCAGTTTCTACCACTGCCTAAGGTAAAAAAATAATGTACCTTGGTCTTAGGTACCTAAAATCCCACAATCCTATCAAAAGCCAATATAGTATTATGTATACTGTATAAAACTTCACAATTTTATTGTTGAAATCAAAACCGGCGATTAGAACACAATAAGTAATGAATGTCTTGCAATAAATTCTGCGATGATTCGCAACCACGGAATATAAAATGTTAAATACAATGCTGGCTATTAACGATAAGGTATTAGATAATACCTAATAAGTTAAAACTGCAGGGCTAGAAATCGGTGGGCATGCGGGAATTGGGTCACAATTAAACTTTTTTTAAAAACGTATACGGTAATTGGTCCACTGCAGATTTACATTTATAACAAGTATACTCAGTGATTGGGCCACTATTAAATTTTAAATTGCATTAAATAATATTTAATATAAAACGTAGTTATACATACCAGTGCACACGGAACTTTAATCGAAGTGACCGCGTGCCTTATTGAAAGGTAATAAATTATTCATTATTAAATAACATAGAATTGGGAAGGGCTGACATCAAATGAAAGGAATGAAAGTAGAGCCCAAAGCTTAATTTACAAAGAATAAAAACATTGCTAAGAATGCCGTCGAGTCTTTTCATTCGCATTTCAAAAATAATTTCTATATGTCACATCCTAATATTCATAATTATCTAGCAGGAACGTTAAAAGCCAAGAAAACAATTATATTATTAATTAAATTAAAAATAAAAGAAGGGAAAAACAGATTTAAATTATATAATCTGTATGGTATTATTTAAAAAATTAATCGATTTATTGAAAACGACTATTTACATTTAAAAGTTTTTTATTCACTTTAATAAAATTAACATTTTAAAATTATTAATATTCAAAATTTAAAAATCTAATATTAAAGGGTTTGATAATTACATTTTAGAATATTGGAAATATAATTTACAAAAAAATCCATCACAATTTCAAATAAGTTGTCAGAAGTTTTATGCGATGACTAGGATAATCGGTATAGTTGTCTTAAGATATTGGTATATTTTAGTAGGAAAGAAAAACAGACGGGGTCCCATAAAGAGTTATCAAACCATACTTTTAAAAAATAAAGTTTACACAAACTATACACAATATCTATATTGATTATGATCACATATTGCATTTTTCATCTGTATTTATGCCAAACTGTTTTCAACCACATATATTAGTTCATAAACTTAAATAATTAATTATTTTGTGTAGCTTATAAGACGATTTTGTAGTTATTCCACAAACACTGAAATACCAAACTTCAAAGTTTGACGATTAACAATCTTGACAAAATTAACAATATTTATGATCGAATACACGTCATATACTACAATTACCACATATATATCAACTTTGACCGTTTATATAAATGCAGTTCACCCTATTTAAGTTTATTGGATTTTTAAAAGCTTTGTCTATACTTTATAGTTAAAAATGTATAGGTTGTTAATAATACACAAATGCATTGGTGCTGTAAATAATTTAGTACCTAGTACCTATACCTACCTATTAAAATATCAGTTGCATACTTATTATGTTATATTTATTTAAACGATCAATGTAATACTGAGAATCCTAGGTAGAACACGGAATAGTTGAGGTAGGTATATACAGTTTCTTGGACGAGGATACACTTTTAAATAAATTATGTGTTAATTCCTTACATAAATTATATAGTTAATTTAATACTAACGACGGACACTTATATGCACAACGACGAGAATTTATCGACAATATTTATTTTAAACATTTATTCACCATGCATAAATAGGTCAAGGATACACATTTAAATAAATCATGTGTCGCCTAGTCCGTGTAGCTAGTTTGGGAGTACATAATATTTAAAGTGACAAGTGCCAATACATATATAGGTATTATATTTGACGACAGACGACCGTCTGAGAGTATACATTATGACACTATTATAATATACCGATATTGACAATTCTGCATAGGTCATAACAATAATATCCCGAATTTAAGACGAAAACAACCATATTTTCAACATTAGATTAGCAAAGGTTACAGGACTCTTTCGAATATTGAATCCAGGATCCATTAAATTTCATTACACGTGAGACATTTAATGAATCCAGGATCCATCAAATGTCATTACACGTGAGACTGTTTGACGATCACGAGGTACAATTTCACATAGCTCGGAACAGACATTATATTTTGAATCGTTGGCGATCGGTGTGGATCACGAACACGATGCCCGGACACGCGTATTTGACGTCACTGGTGTTTTTCGAGAGCAGTTCTCCAATGTTCCGTACCGATACACGGACGGTAAAAAATCACGATGGTCCGGTGGGCAATTATTACCGCCAGAACTTTTATTTAATAGAAAACTGATGAAACATACAACTGACGAAACGTTTTACTTCATCGAGAGGTTTTTCACCGTCTGCCATGTTCATCCTCGTATTCGGTATTCTTCTGGTGGAGCTGTACTTGGCTGCATAATGTGATTCTCAGTTATGAATAGTTAATGCCACTTTCGAATCTATATATAGTATATAATGAATATGGATTTATTATAATATATACATAATCTCATACAGTCATACGTACTTTTAAATGTAAAGGAATCATCAGTACCTACTCATTACTGGGCAAGTTGACTTATTTTTTTTTTAAATATACCATGGAAATTAATATTTTTATTTAAATTATTATATTTTTGTAGTTTTGATCTCAATCGAACCGGTGCCCTCAACACATCGACAGTCTAAAAATTACTAATTAGTATTTACGATATATAGGAACATCAACACCACACACACACTTTTCAAGGGTTTAATATCGATGGCGTAGCGCACAAGTGTGATAAGTGACATTTTCGTAATTGTTCAGGAGAACGATTTTAAAGTTTGAGATGTTATAACAAATTCAAAAATGTAACGAACTGTACAACATCTATCGGAGTAATTAATGAACTATTCACTTACAACGTTTGGGCATAATGTGCAGAATTGTATGATTAAATTGATTATGCACTTAACTCATTTTTCAAAAAATGTCACTTATCACACTTGTGCGCTACGCCATCGATATATACTATATAGACTTTTTAATGGCTTTTGAGAAGAATTAAAATGTTTAATCTTAAATAATATATATAATATATATTAACTCATTCGTAGTATTTTAAAATATTCCAATATTCCAATGTCAGTACCAGCAATGATTGTTATGGAAAAATGAAATTATATTAAAGAAAAACAGTTTCACGTGGAAAAAACTTATGAGTATTATTTACATTGGATTTTCTAAAATTTAGCATTTAAATAGAAAAGAATTTGGCTTCTTATAAGTTTCATGTAAGTGTAAGAAACTTGATATATTAATAACATTAATAAATATTAAATACCTATTAATATTCAAAAAATAAATTTTTTTAAGAAAATATTTAAATACTTATTGTAAAATTTAATATTTTTATGATATAACAATAATATAAAAATCATATTATCTCTAGTGTTAAATATTGTTTGACATTACTTTATATTTACGCTTTATTCTAGGCTGGGTTAAGGGGTAACATTTCTTAGAGATCCTCAATTTGGTAAAGTTAAGGAGCACTCACGCATATTATAATTTATAATTTAAAAGAAAAAATAGTTGACAATTTTACATTATTTACTATGTAGCTTGTAACAATCAGGACTACCAATGTCACTTACTTGATTACAGTACCAGTATCATCTATATGACTATATGGAATCAGCAACTATTCAATTTATTAGAGATTATGATGCTTATGAATTCTGTTGAATGTTTTTTCTTTCAATTTATGGGTGTGGAGATAACAGTGAGGAGTACCACTGAGTATCATATGACTTACACGGGTCTGTCATATTTTTTTCAGGAAATATAATGAATTATTCACTCTATTTTTTCTTTGTCAATATCACTCATCGTGATTTGGTTTAGTTTCATGATGGTAAAAAAATGGGTAATACATAGATTTTATTACATAGTTGTATAAATATAGTGAAAATAAAATTACATTTATGCAATAGTTCAGACGAATTATACTATAATAAATTATTATTATTTTCCAATGATGTATACTTATATGCGTGTCTTAAATCTAATGAGAATAATTTTGCTCTTCTATTTTTTTTTTCAATATTTATCAAAGAAACTACAATAATTTATTACTGTTACGAATCCTTTAATTAGAAATTTTACCCTCAAAACGATAAACGCGCATAGCGTGTAATTCACAGAGTAACCTAACCTGCCATTTTTGAATTTAAGAAGATGAGTGGCTCACTAGGTGCAAAATACCTACTTTTAGTGACAATATAAGCTGTTGCCCCCCCCCCCCATTCCCTTACCATTATTTAATAACATCTTTATGAT